CAGAGCATTCCCGAGTTTGGGTGATTAACACAACGAATCTACAGAACATTCCCGAGTTTGGGTGATTAACACAACGAATCTACAGAGCATTCCCGAGTTTGGGTGATTAACACAACGAATCTACAGAGCATTCCCGGGGTTGGGTGATTAACACAACGAATCTACAGAGCATTCCCGAGTTTGGGTGATTAACACAACGAATCTAGTTCGTGTTTCTATGTTTGACGATGATTTGTAGGATCTGTTTTGTTCGTGTTCTATATGTTTGACGATGATTTGTGGATCTGTTCTCCTCAAAGCTCTCATAGCAGCTTTTCTCTTACTTTCAATTTCCTGGGTGTCTCCAATAATAATAGCATTTCAAAAAGCAAATAAATTAAAAACTAAACTTACTCAGTGCATTGTTCTGTACCTATTTACTAATTTTTTTAAAAGAATAGCATCAGTTTATACGTCACCTATCTTCTGGGTGGACGTCTAGGTCGCAGAATTTCCAAATAATAGCATTCGCCCACTTGTGGGTGACATCTTCCTCTGCCTCCTTTTCTAGTTTCATGTAGTATTTGCTCAATTCATCTCGCTGGGCTAGTTCCTGCATGACAGTGAACAGCCACTCACGCATACGACGAGGGAAGTCTGCCATCTCATCTTCGGCACATTTTGTGATTTCTAAAATATGGAAATACGTGGAATAGGTTCGGAAGTGGACAGATGCGCACCTTGCTACAGTCCAGCATTATAAAATTAACAAGTTTCGGGATTTTTTTTTGTACAACCACAAGAAAGTACTGTGATCAGTTACTTTTAAACCGTTACAGTTTTAACTGAAGATTGTTTGAACATATTGCTATTATATATTGCTTTTTTTTAAATTCTTACTTTTTATAACATGAAGAGTTACATTAAACATTTAATCCAAGCAAATGTTGTTAAATTAAGTCTGTTTATTTAAAGCCTAATAGATTTCGTGTTTTGTTTTTCTTTCTTAAACTAAAGACAAATCAAACCTATATTATTATCGAAGAAACTAAATATAAGATACACCACTGTATAAAAGTCAAAACTGAAACATGATTTACGGCAAACTAACAGAGGGCATATTTCTTTACAAAAATATAGAGGAAAAAATAAATATAGAATATTACACTTACAGATTTAAATCTTTAGTCTTTCTAAATATGCAGTCAGTTAGATAATAATATTGGGAAAATGAATTATAACCTTGCGATACCAGTTTTTTAAAGTTATCTAAAACTTAGTCCTAACAGAACTGTCGCAGAAATGGATAAAACTATCAGGTTATTGGTACACCATGGATGTGATTTAGTATTCGATATAAAAACTTCAAACAAATTTCATTATCTTGCTTGCTGTTGCTTAAATTTCGGGTTTTTGTTGCATGAACCTAATATATATTTGATACCGAAAAAAAAAAGATGTGAACAAAAAATAAGATGAAGTTACACAATGAGCTATCAGTGCTCTTCCAACCACTGGTATCGAAACCCGAATTGTAGCGTAAAAAGCTCTTAGATTTACCGCTTAGCCACCAGGGGCCGTGATGACTTGCTTGACAATACCAACTAGAATGTTGGTCAACTTATTTGTATTGTTGAAAAATCGAAAAAAAAAAAAACACAAACTATATACAATAGAGTTGTTTGTTATTCGAAAAAAAATATGAAAAGGTTAATGAATCGGTAGTCTTAGTAGATCCAGCGAAATCAGAAGTGTCGTTCAAAATTCTAAATCAGTTGATACTGAGTTAACTGAGCCATCGTTTCAATGTCTTCGTATACCAACTTGCTGTTTTACTAAAAATATCTGTTTAACCCTTACAATTAGTACACGAGACCTTGTCAGCTTGGCAAACCCTTGAAGATAAGTCTTTCTTACTCTTCGGATTGCTGAACCATATCATTACTCTAGAACACGAACTTGTCACCATCTACGTCAAAACATCTTTTACACCTTGGCACTGATTGACTTCAAATTCATTAAAAAATTTGTGGGCATCGTCAGTAGTTTATCTTAGTTGACAAGGCGAATGCTCTATGGATCTGTTTTTCAAATCATCGTCAAACATATAAACACGAACAAAAACAGATCC